GCGATTGCCGGGCAAGGAGTCTCGGTTTCGATTCCCGGGTCGGGCAAAGTATTACAGCGTTTTTAAAAATTCTCAGTAGTAGCACGGAGTCTGGAATTGTGCCCGGTATAATATGGCCATAGGCTCACCCCCTATTACATGGGACTCATAACATAATTAGTGAAAAGTGGGTGTTACAGTGTACAGTCGCATAATGTGCACCTCTGCCTACCCCTTCGGGGATAAAAGGCGTGATGTTATGTTATGTGTGTCAATAACCGAATTTGAACTCTACCATGAAACGATAAAGTCGATAGTGCGTTAAAAATTTCGACAAATCGGACTAACTTGATGCGATGTCGTCTGGCGTATCTAATAGAATCTATGACCTCAATATATTGAAGTTAGATGTCAAAACACATGCAAGAAGTCACGTATCACATAAAGGTATCACCTGACTATCATGTTGACGCCTTTGTCCCCTGGTGAGCATCAAAGTACATCGTGGTAGAGAAGTATGTCACCCCAATGCTCCCGGTGAAGGAGCACCTTTATATTTGCGTAACTTTTTCTCGACATCGACAACGACATCAAAAAAATGTCGTGGTGGCCCGGAGGTTTAAGACGCCCACTTCTCATGCATGAGGGTGCGGGTTCGAAACCTACCATCGGCAAGTACCAATGTGACTTTTTCCGAGTTATATGTACTTTCTAAGATTATTTAGACACCACTGACAAACGGTGAAGGAAAAACATCGTGAGGAAACCTGGGCTTATAATTTCTAATTATAAGTTTGAAATCGCCAACCCGCATTGAGCCAGCGTGGTGATTAATGCTCTAACCTTCTCCGTGTGAGAAGTGGTGTCTAAATAATCTTAGAAAGTACCTCTATATATAACTTGGAAAAGGTCGCATTGGTAATTGCTGTTGGTAGGCTTCAAATCCGAACCCTCATGCATGAGAAGCGGGCGTCTTGAACCTCCGGGCTAACACGACATTTATTTTTTTATGGGAATAGCAGGTAAACTAGCAGACGGATCACCTGATGGTAAGCAATCAGCGTCACCCATGGACACCTGAAATACCAGAGGCGTTACAAGTGCGTTACCGGCCATTTGGGGATTAGGAATTTGAGGATTGTTCAGGATTCGGGGATTAAGGATATTGGGGGAAGGGGGTAATTGGGTCTCCGGATTGACATTGTTGAGATTGTAGGTCTAACATAATAATAAGAAAAGAATACAGGACACGAAACACCAGTGGTTCCCAAAGTTGTAGAGAATACGACCTATCTAAATCAAGTTACAAACCTCAGAACCCATATATACATAACATCATGGCTGTCTCCCATGGGGGGTAGGCAGGCTCTATGGATTCACTTTTAGGAAATGAAACTGTTAACAATAGGAAAAGTAAAATATACCTCTAGAATGTTTGGTTTTTTTTTTTTTTTAAGGGGGGAAAATCATCGAATGACTGCTCCCGCCTGGGTGAGGCGGAAGGGAGTGTCAGACTCTTACTGACTAAAAACCACCCCGTACCTTCTCCTGCACGTCGAGCCGGAGCCCCGGTTACCCGTTAGGTTCTCCGCAACTCCGAATCGGGGAATGGTTGGTTAGCGTGTCATTATACAGACAAGGCCCACTAAAATTTCACTTGCGACCCACCAATGGGTCGCGACCCATAGTTTGGGAAACCCTGCATTATACAATTAGCATATATTTGCTATAATTGCGTCTAACAATAATATACATACAAACGTGGTTTATACATTAATTGAGATATATTAGCTGACAGCACATTAATAAATTTCTGCTTATTATAAGTTTTTAATAATCATGACTGCACGGTTGGCGCGGTGGCTGGGCAACTGGCTGCCGTGCAACGTGCCGCGGGTTCGATTCCCGCACGGAACAACTCTTTGTGTGATCCACAGGTTGTTGTTCCGGGTCTGGGTGTCATGTGTATGTGAACTTGTATGTTTATAAATGCACCCACGACACAGGAGAAAAGTCTAGTGTGGGTAAACGTTTATAAAAAAAAAAAACAAAACCCGTAGGCTTAGTGATTAGAAGTAAGGCCTTTGAACGCTATGTACTGAATTGAATACTTTCCTTAATCAAAAATATAATATTTCGACTGTTCAATACAATAAAATATTAAAACATAACCACACTTCCATTAATTGATTTTATGACCAACTTAACTCTAGTATTTATCCAGCATTTTTTTAAGAAATGAATACGCTGTTTGGCGCTAAAAAAACGTGACGTCACAATACACAATCTCGTACAAAATTCATAGAAAACTGTCGTTTTTGACAGTTCGAAAAAAGTATTGAATTTGACTAGTTGGCAAGTACAAAATTCCGAGGTCTTTAATCATTATCTTATCAGTTCACTGATGGGCGATGGGCCCTCAATATACATACATAACCTCTCCCATTTAAGCAGACACTAGATAGAATAGCTTCACTGACAAACAAACGGACGGACAATTCCATTTTTGACGTTTTAAAAGTGTCTTATTAAGTACTAGCTTTTACCCGCGGCTTCGCTCGCGTCACAAAAGAATAAAAAGTAGCCTATGTGACATACCAATACATACAGCGCCATCTATACCAATACTTTTGTTTTTCCTCGGGAATATCAATATTTTCCGGGTTAAAAAGTACCCTATTATATAATCCGGACTTCTAACTTTACGTCTGCAAAAATTCAAAGCAATCGGTTTAGTAGTTACGGCGTGAAGGTGGAACAAACAAACAAACAAACAAACTCACTTTTAGATTTATAATATTAGTAAGGATAAGGATTAATTGAAATAAATACTTTGACTATGAAACGCCAATTACTACGATTCCTACATACCTCTTTCGCTTCATCAACAGTCATCAGTCTTTTCATGCATTCTCGTCGGTTGACAGCCGTCTCAGCGGGATCGACCTCCGGTCTTGGAAGGGTGATGTGGCGAGGACAATCTGACTGTCCGGAGCTGGTGGCACAGGTGGTACGGTTGTTTGTGCCCCCAGTTCTGAAGCATCAGCTTAGGCCACATTCGCACCCCTTACTGGCTGTCCCGGTAACGCGAACAGTCGCGCATGCAAATTCTCCGCTTGTTCGAGCATTAACGATGATCAATGATTTCCTGGCATCCGCACCAGAGTGTGATTTGTTCGCAGCGAGATGGAAGGATGAATGTCGTGAATGTGTAAGATTTTGTGAGAAGATGGACGGCTGATGAATTAGTTTTAAGTAATTATAATTATTGTACTTTTTTATATAAGATACCTATTACATAAGTGTAAAATAGTAAATAAGTAACATTTTTTTTTATTGTTTAACTGTATAATGTTTTGGCTTGTGCTGTAAAATTATACATGTACTTATAAATAAATCCTTACTATAATATAATATATATATAATATATAATATATATATATATATATATATAATATTATAAATCTGAAAGTGAGTTTGTTTGTTTGTTTGTTTGTTCCACCTTCACGCCATAACTACTCAACCGATTGCTTTGAATTTTTGCAGACGTAAAGTTAGAAGTCCGGATTAAATAATAGGGTACTTTTTAACCCGGAAAAATTGATATTCCCGAGGAAAAACAAAAGTATTGGTATAGATGGCGCTGTGTGTGTTGGTATATGTCACATAGGCTACTTTTTATTCTTTTGTGACGCGAGCGAAGCCGCGGGTAAAAGCTAGTAAATAAATAAATGGTACATGCTAACGGATGACGTCACAAAAATCCTACATCGCACATGCAAAGTTTACATGCAAATTAACACGGATAGAAAATCCCAACGAACAACTGTTGGGCAGAAAGCCCGCCAGGCACGATCACCTCGCCTGGTCGGAGGATCCTCCTTTTCCGATCTTAGGGAACTATACACTCTGTTCCCTAAAGGTACTTTTAATTTGGACCTTTCTTCCTATATAGGAGGGGTTCGCCATAACCTCACCAGTCCTCGCTTGGGAGAAGATTTGAACATCGTGGATAGTTTCATATTTATATATCACTGACTGTACGGTGGGCGCGGCAACGTGTCGCGGGTTCGATTCCCGCACCGAACAACTCTTTGTGTGATCCACAAATTGTTGTTCCGTGTCTGGGTGTCATGTGTATGTGAACTTGTATGTTTGTAAACGTACCCACGACACAGGAGAAAGTCCTAATGTTGAGCAAAGTCTTATGAAAAAATATAAAAAACGCTATCAAAGAACGCTGCTGTACGGTCTCGGTCAAATGTTTAGTACCTTAGTCGGGTATGTGACACCCACGGGAAGAGTAGGGTTGGAAAAATATTGTATTCTTTTACTTTGTCGTGTCTACAGTATAGACTATTAATTGATATTTGTAAAAAAACGCAAAGCAGTTATAACGCCTCTGATATTGCGGGTATCTATGAGCGGCGCCGATTGCTAACCATTAGGTGATCCGTCTGTCTGCTCGTTTGCCGGGCTAATATATAAAAACATCTGACTGTACATAATGTGTATCTATTCTATTCTCTATTTCTACTTACATATTATATTTTCAGGGATTATTAATAAAATCATCGAAATCTGTTGAGCCGTTTCAGATATGTTGACAAAAATACAAAATGTAGATGTTCTAGGAATCAAAGATGGCTGCCCAAAAAGCCTACGTAGATCAGGAAAACTGTAAATACAATAGTAAGACTAAATAACAAACTAACAAACACTGAAAAATAACCTCTAAACTGCAACAAATAGAATAGAAAATCGCGAATCAGAAAATCGCAATACAAAATTTTCTATGAAAACAAACTTATATTTGCGGTTCACAAACTCTTTTTCTTTCACATTTCCAACTGCATTTACGTTTGAACGACCGCAAATGCATTTGTAAATTTGAAATGAGAATGCAGATTTGGCGCGCCACGGATATAAAAGGCGAGAGAACCTCTTTTGAACCAGTGCGACTGAAACAGCCGTTCCCACCGGTGTTGTCACTCTAGAAAATCTTTTTTTTTTAAATAAAGATGTTGAGTGTACTATTCTTCATAACCGTCGCCATTTTGGTGGCATATAAATTTTATTCTAAGAAAACCGTTACTTATGAAAAAGTAAATAAATACGGAGAAAATAAAGTTATGGTTTTGAAAGAAGCGCCGGGGCCTACGCCATTACCGATTATCGGTAATTTACATCTGTTGGGCAAGCATGAATCCCCATTTCAATCTTTCACCGATCTTGCGAAGGACTATGGGGATATCTTTAGCTTGAAACTGGGAACAGCGAAATGTTTAGTAGTCAATAACTTGGAGTTAATACGCGAAGTTCTGAATCAAAATGGAAAATTTTTCGGCGGTCGACCCGACTTCCTACGCTTCCATCAACTCTTTGCCGGAGACAGGAATAACTGTAAGTACCTTTCTTTATTTCATTTATTAACTTCCCTTTATGTCATCATCAACAGCCTATAAATGCCCACTGCTGAGCAAAGCCCCTTCTCACACGGAGAAGGTTTGAACATTAATCACGACGCTTGCTCATTGCGGGTTGGCGATTTCAAACTTATAATAAAACTAGCTTTTACCCGCGGCTTCGCTCGCGTCACAAAAGGATAAAAAGTAGCCTATGTGACATATACTAATACACACAGTGCCATCTCTACCAATACTTTTGTTTTCCCTCGGGAATATCGGATATTTCCGGGATAAAAAGTACCCTATTATTTAATCCGGACTTCTAACTTTACGTCTGTAAAAATTCAAAGCAATCGGTTAAGTAGTTACGGTGTGATTAGAAATTGTAAGCCCAAGTTTCCTCACGATGTTTTCCTTCACCGTTTGTCAGTGGTGTCTAAATAATCTTAGAAAGTACATATGACTCGGAAAAAGTCACATTGTTACTTGACATCGGTAGGTTTAGAATCAGTTCCTTTATGCCATTGTGTTGTAAATTTTATCACTGCCGTAAGTCTCTCTCGAGACATAAGATCAGACTAAGAAACTGCCATATTTAAGCTAGCTATATTTCACCGGGTATCCATGGTGGTATAACCATCGCCGCCACTAACAAAATACATGGTGTTGTTTTAAAGCCGCGTCATTTTCTAGGAGGTAACTCGGATATCGATTCTGAGTCCGAATCAATAAAAAAATTGTAGGTAAATGTTTTTCATTTTTCTGAAATTACGAAAATCCGTAAGTGCGAACTGTACACCGCCGTCTTGTAACTAGTTCTATAACGCGGCTTAACACACACAAACTCAAACACGTAATTGATATTATTCCTAATTGCATTAAACTCCAATAAGAACCATTGCTGTCGCTTATTCTGAAATACTGTCGTACTTAAACGTTTTATTATAGCCGTATTTTTAACTATTGACCCGAAATTTTCTCTTCATCATCAACAGCCTATAAATGCCCACTGCTGAGCAAAGCCTCTTCTCACACGGAGAAGGTTAGAGCATTAATCACCACGCTTGCTCAATGCGGGTTGGCGATTTCAAACTTATAATTAGAAATTATAAGTTCAGGTTTCCTCACGATGTTTTTCCTTCACAGTTTGTCAGTGGTGTCTAAATAATCTTAGAAAGTACATATAACTCGGAAAAAGTCACATTGGTACTTGCCGTTGGTAGGTTTCGAACCCGCACCCTCATGCATGAGAAGTGGGCGTCTTAAACCTCCGGGCCACCACGACTATTAATTTTCTCTTACATTGAACCTTTATGACTTCTGTGACATGCCCCCGAAAAATGACACGGCTTCACAACTACACCTTGTATATATACCTCTATATACAGCTCTATCAAGAGCAACTCATTTGGTGTATCCTTGCTTGTGCAACCAGTTTACACATATAATGTTGGTAGCGGCGACTGGTTGCTTTGTCATGTGAAATATACCCCTAATACCTAGAGACCTGGTAGCGGCCCTTGATAATAAACTTGAATCTTAACATAACGTCACGCATCTTCTTTCTCTTTGTGCCTTTAGGCTTAATTCATTTTGTCTCCTGCAGTAATTCACGGAGGGAAGTGGAAACTATCGTTTTTTCTTCTTCTCCTCTTATAATATCTTATGATTCACTTCGTTGCGGGAACCAAGACAGTTACTCATGTCCCTGGGACGTTGGACTTCAGTGTTCCGGTGTTTTCATGGTTGTATCTACTGTAGATCATGGTGCACAGGAGTTGCAGCGGTTTTGAGAGGGAGTGGCGGGCTTGTCGCATTTAAAAAAAAAATAACATCACGCCTTTTATCCCTGAAGAGTTAGGCAAAGGTGCGCATTAGGTACGGCATAATGAATACCTCTGCACACCCCTTCGTGGACAAAGGCGTGATGTTATGTTATGTTAGGTACAGCATTTAATGGCACTGTACAATGTAACACCCACTGTTCACTATTTATGTTATGAGTCCCATGTAATAGGGGGTGAGCCTATTGCCATATACCGGGCACAATCCCAGACTCCGTGCTACTACTGAGAATTTTATTTTTAAAATCCCAGATATACTTGTCCGACCCGGGAATCGAACCCGAGACCACTTGACCTCAGTCGCTCTTGTGACCACTAGGCCAACGAGGCAGTCTCTTTATACAGACTATGTCGATGTTACATTGTTCAGTGGTATTACTGCCGTAATGTACACCTCTGACAACCTCTTCGGGGATAAAAGGCATGATGTTATATTTATGTTTTGTATAAATTACCTATCTTCTACCTTCTTTTTAACACTCTTCTTCTCTTCTACCACACTCGATAAATTGATTATCTAATAGGAAAATCAATATTATATCCCTACCTATGTGTTTCCTGAACGGTATAACCTGTCTTCAAGGCCCGAGTGAATAGGTTGCTTATGGGACGACGTGCTCCATCGTAGAACGCATCATCGCTTACCACCAGGCGAGATAGTGGTCAAACGTCGCCGTCGACCCATGAAATTAAAAAAAAATATGTATATAAAAAAATTTCAGAGATTACCGCGGTCAAAAAAATATATTTTAAACGGTTGCCCCGTACTAGGATTTACTCCTGTGTCGTGGGTGCGTTTACAAACATACAAGTTCACATACACATTACACCCAGACCCGGAACAACAATTTGTGGATCACACAAAGCGTTGTTCCGTGCGGGAATCGAAACTGCGGTACGTTGCACGGTAGCCAATTGCCCAGCCACCTCACCTCCCGCGCAGTCAAATATACAAACTCTTTAGGTTTTTTTATATTAAGATTAAGCTAGCTTTCTGTAAACGGCAAATTTTTCTCTTGCAATTAACTCCAGATTCTGTAAAATCACACTAAATTCGAAGTCCAAGCATTTATCACTACATAGTATAAAACAAAGTCGCTATCCACCGTCTGTCTGTCCCTATGTATGCTTAGATCTTTAAAACTACGCAACGGATTTTGATGTGGTTTTTTTAATAGACAGAGTGATTCTTAAGGAAGGTTTATATGTATAATACATGCATATTGCACCCGTGCGAAGCGGGGACGGGTCGTATAAGATAATTGTTTTTTTTTTAATACTGAGTTACATAATGAAACACGAAAGCTGCCTTGTTGGCCGAGTGGTCGCAAGTGCGACTACCGGGCAAGAGGTTTAGGGTTCGATTCATAGGGTGGGCAAAGTATTACTGGGTTTTTAAAAATCTCTGTAGTAGCACGGAGTCTGGAACTGTGCCCGGTAATTTGGCAATAGGTTCACCCCTACATGGGGCTCATAACACAAATAGTGAACAGTAGGTGTTATATTGTACAGTGGCAGAATGTGCACCTCTGCCTTCCACGTCGAGGATAAAAGGCTAGATGTTATAATGAAACACAGTCAGCTACGCTATGCTGGAACTTTCAATTCGGAAGACCGAAATGAACTCGACAGTGGTCGGTCATGTCATTATTTGTGAGAATAATCTCGACCAATGACGGCCGAGAATGCAATCAAGCTCACTTCAAAAGTGTTTTATTTTTTTTATGGCATAAGCCGGTAAACGAGCTGACGAATCACCCGATGGTAAGCAATCGGCGTCGCCCATGGACACCTGGAACACCAGAGGCGTTACAAGTGCGTTACCGGCTTCCTGGGGATTAGGAGTTTGAAGATCGTTGGGGATTCAGGGATTGGGGAGATTGGGGAAAGGGAGGGTAATTCTCATCAGGTGATCCGTCTGCTCGTTTGCCGGCTTATACCATAAATACAAAAAAAAAAATTAACTGGCGTTGGAAAAATCGGGCCTTAGTCGGGTATACGATACCCGCAGGACGAGCAAGGGCGGTTGATACTTGTATTCTGCTTAACTGTCACCACGTAGCATTTTCTTCACTTAGGTACATAAGAATATAATTATTGTGTTACAAGTAAGTAATTATTGCGAACTAGCTTCTGCCCGCGACTTCGTACGCGCAATCCCGTTTTCTCCCGTTCCCATAGGATTATCAGGATTTTTTCTGAGATAAGATCCGTCTCCTGACAATAACAAACACAACAAAAAACTAATCAGCCAAATCGGTCTAGCCGTTCTCAAGTTATGGCGTGACAACGGGAAACGGGTTTCATTTTTATATTACTCTACAGAGAGAGTAGAAATCAAAATGTATGGGGATGACACTGACAAGTGTTAACATTTACGTCAATCCCTTATGATTTGGTTTTCTATTCTACATGTAGACAAGCGCTAATTGGCATTGGGCTACAGCTGCTGTTCAGCAACTGCGCCTAACATTCAATTGGGTACTTTACTTAATCAAAAATAAATTATTTAGACTGTTCAATACAATAGAATATTAAAACATAATTACACTTTCATTAATTGATTTTATGACCAACTTAATTTTAGTATCCATCCAGCACATTTTTAATACATAAGTATGCTGTTTAGCGCTAAAAAAACGTGACGTCACAATACACAATCGCGTACAAAATTCATAGAAAACTGTCGTTTTAGACAGTTCGAAAAAAGTATTGAAATTGATTAGTTGGCAAGTACTTATCTACGCATTTATATAGATGTGACGTAGCTACCTAAAACAAACTTCATTAGTATATCTACGGTGACGTACATTCTGTATGTGTGTCAAAATTATGTTTACAATTACAATTTTAAATTTATACAAACTTAATATTCACAGTTGCATAAAATTACTAGCTTCTACTCGCGGCTTCGCCCGTCTTTTTGTGGGATAAAAAGCCTTTGTGTCATTCCCGACCATAATACAAGGCGTTGTTTTAAAGACGCGTCATTTTCTAGGAGGTAACTCGACTATCGATTCTGAGTCCGAATCAATAAAAAAAATTGTACTTAAATATTTTTCATTTATCTGTAAATTACGGAAATCCGTAAGTGCGAACTACACACGCCGCGGTCTTGTAACTAGCTTTATAACGCGGCTTAACACACACAAACTCAAACACGTAATTGATATTATTCCTAATTCCATAAAACTCCAATAAGAAACATTGCTGTCGCTTATTCTGAAATACTGTCTTACTTAAACGATTTATTATAGCCGTATTTTTAACTATTGGCCTGAAACTTTCTCTTACATTGAACCTTTATGACTTCTGTGACATGCCCCCGAGAAATGCCACGGTTTCAAAACTACACCTTGTATATCCCTGTTCCAAATTTAATCCCGATCCCGACATAGGTATCCAGAGACCGGGCAACAGCGCTCTCTGATAAACCTGAACCTTTTATACTATGATAACCAAATCACCGCTAAATAAGGAGATTATAGCCAGCCTTCTTACGTAGAGGAAGCCCAAATCAAGAGCCAACAGACCACCACAGATAGGGGCCAGTAGGGCTAATACCAATACGGAGCCGCGGAAGACTTAACGGGTTGCCGGGGCTCCGGCTCGAAGTGCAGGAGTAGGAACGGGGTGGTTTTTAGTCAGTAAGAGTCTGACACTCCCTACCGCTCGCCCAAGCGGGATAATTCATTCGATGATTTCCCCCCCTTAAAAAACCGCTTTCATATATATTTATTCACCTGTATATAGCAGAATTGTGGCGCTTATGTTCTCTAATTTCAAATACACAGTACATGCAGTAGGAAGTGTAATTTGATCTATAAAATCGTTGAGTTGCATGTTTTTTGGCTCATGCATTCTTGAGTAGCCTAATTTTTGCTGTATATATAAAACGCATATATATATATATAAAATAAATTATTAGTTACTTACACGTGTTGACACAGTAGTAATATGTAAACAATAAAATATTGCGATTCTATCTGTCATTAAGTTATTTTATTACAGCATAACATAACATCACGCCTTTTATCCCCGAAGGGGTAGGCAGAGGTGTACATTATGCCACTGTACAATGCCCACTTTTCACTATTTATGTTATGAGTCCCATGTAATAGGGGGTGAGCCTATTGCCATATACCGGGCACAATTCCAGACTCCGTGCTACTACTGAGAATTTATAAAAACCCAGTAGTACTTCGCCCGACCCGGGACCCCTTCCCTGGCAGTCGCACTTGCGAACACTCGGCCAACGAGCGTGAGGTTATGTATGTATGTCTGTTCGTGCCCCATCAATGTTTGCCATAGTGATTAGAGATCGTACTTACGTATCTTTTTTTAAGGGGGGAAAATCATCGAATGACTTCTCCCGCCTGGGTGAGACGGGAGGGAGTGTCAGACTCTTACTGACTAAAAACCACCCCGTTCCTACTTCTGCCTTTCGAGCCGGAGCTCCAGCAACCCGTTAAGGTCTCCGCGGCTCTGTATCGGCATTAGCCCTATTGTGCCCCATCCGTGGTGGTCTGACGGCTCTTTGAGGCGCGCGCCAAAACGCGACACGCCTTACGCTCGGGTCTGGTTCTGGTCGGGCGGCGAGCCACCCATGCTCGCCGTCCGCAGGCCCGTGTGTACGGTGGCCGTAGATCGTTCCGCGATCCCCGACGCCCGGAGTGTCCTTCGCGACGGCTGGGCTGTGAGGAGACAGCGCTTCGCGTCCCGCCTCCTCCTTAGCTAGCATGACTGCTTCGCAAAAGGAGCAGATGGCATACCACGCCTCTTCGCTCCGCATCATAGCCCGGAGCAGCACTTCATATAGAAATGAAGGAATGACGTAATGAAATCCTATTCCCTGCCCTATAATAAAATTCAACCTAGAAGCCAAAGTGTAGGTCAGGAGATAGAGCATTTTATCACATAAGTACCTACTTAAAATAATTTGAAATATAAAACCCACTCTCGCATTGCGTACGAAGTAACAAAACTAATTACTTTCATAAAAATATTATGTCTATGCCTTATACTACGCCTAGATTTAGGTTATGACAATTTTGGTCCAATTCACAAGTTACGAATCGAACTTCTTACTTCGAAATCCTTACTAATATTATAAATTGGAAAGTGAGTTTGTTTGTTTGTTTGTTCCGCTTTCACGCCGTAACTACTAAACCGATTAGTTTGATTTTTTGCATATGTAAAGGTAGAGGTCTGGATTAAATAAAAGGGTATCTACTTTTATCCCGGAAAAATGTGATATTCCCGAGGGAAAATTAAAGTATTGATATAGATGGCGCTGTGTGTATCGGTATATGTCACATAGGCTACTTTTTATCCTTTTGTGACGCGAGCGAAGCCGCCGGTAAAAAAGCTAGTAATTTATAATCAACAGTTTAAAACGAATAGCGTGTTTCAGTTAAATATTAATATAATACATAACATCATAACATACCATTTATTTATTTATTTATTCATGTACACAATACAGACAATACACAGAAAAAAAATATATTATAACAAAACAGAGGTACATAGGTACTGCCACAGAATCCCTTTTATGGGATTTCTTCCTGCAGCCCTGCGAGAGGAAACCATTATGCCTTTTATCCCCGAAGGGGTAGGCAGAGGTGCACATTATGGCACTTAATGCCACTTTACCATATAACGCCCACTTTTCGCTATTTATGTTACGAGTCCCATGTAATAGGGGATGAGCCTATTGCCATATACCGGGCACAATCCCAGGCTCCGTGCTACTTCTGATTTTTTTTTAAAAGCAGCGGCTGTCGCTCTTTCGACCACCCAGCCAACGAGGCAGTTGCAGCAAAATCATGTTATTGATTTATTAATACTTATTTACGTACTTGTAACGCCTCTGGTGTTCCAGGTGTCTATGGGCGACGCCGATTGCTTACCATTAGGGGACCCGCCAGTCGTTTACCCACAAAAAAAATAAATCGCTCCCGCTTATGACTAAGACCACACGTCCTTGTCGCAAAGTCACGACGCATTTCATTGCATCCGATTTCAAAATATGCGGACGGCAGCATCGTAACGTATACTCGTGTTTCATTTCATTTCAACCTTTTCATTTTTGTAATAGAGTTCAAAATGTAATGAAGTAAGTTTGGTAGGGGATAGCTTTTTGTGCATTCTGTAATATGTGCTTTAATAAATTGTTACCTCCTCATCTTTATTGATATATAATATGTAATTTCTAATGATTTAGCGGCATTTTAGACAAATATTTTACGTTTATTATTATTTACCGAGAGTATTGACCGCCTCGTTGACCGAGTGGTCGCAAGAGCTGCCGGGTCTCGGGTCTCGGGTTCGATTCCCGGTCCGGGCAAAATATTACTGGGTTTTTAAAAATCTCAGTAGTAGCACGGAGTCTGGAAATGTGCCCGGTATATGGCTATAGGCTCACCCTCTATTACATGGGACTCATAACATAAATAGTGAAAAGTGGGTGTTACATTGTACAGTGGCATTAAGTGCCGTAATGTGCACCTCTGCGTATGCCTTCGGGGATAAAAGGGCGTAATGTTATGTTATGTTACCGAGAGTATGACTACTCCCGCGCAGTGCTACACGTTCTGCTCGGCTCCTATTCAACGTGATGTTTGATAGTCTATTAGCTGTTGCCCGCGACTGCGTCCGCGTATAATCATCATCAACCCTATAAAATGCCCACTGCTGAGCAAAGCCTCTTCTCACACGGTTTGAGCATTAATCACCACGCTTGCTCAATGCGGGTTGGCGATTACAAACTTATAATTAGAAATTATAAGCCCAGGTTTCCTCACGATGTTTTCCTTCACCGTTAGTCAGTGGTGTCTAAATAATCTTAGAAAGTACATATAACTCGGAAAAAGTCACATTGGTACTTGCCGTTGGTAAGTTTCGAAAACGCATTCTCATGCATGAGAAGCCAGCGTCTTAAACTTCCGGGCCACCGCGTATAATATGGTTCCTGTTTTATACCATGATAGCATTTAATCGGGATAAAAAGTATCCTATCACCTAAGTCAGTACATACCCTCCCTGTATACCATATTTTATCAATATCCGTTCAGTAATATATCCTCGAAAATCCTAGTGTGTAGTGTGTTTTAAAAAACAAAAAGTCAAAACTAAAAAGCAAAAAAATAACTATTATTAGTACTGATAGTTTACCCACCCTCTAATAGGTAAGAAGTCGGTGCCGATCATCAGATCCTGATCTCATGGAAATGGGACCATCTCGGGAGTATCCCTTTAAAAAAAAAAACAAGAATTTTGGAAATCGGTTCGAACATAGTACCTCCTCCTTTTTTGAAGTCGGTAAAAAAAAACAAGTTAGCCTTCTATTTTTTGGTACACATTTCACATTAACCTTTTGAGTACCGTCATTATAGACACAATTAAAGAACAATAGGTTGCGGTCACCGGTGTCCTCGCGATGTTTGACAGTTTAACCAAATTTTGGAGTAAAAAACTTAAAAACTACTTCTCCTTGTTACAGCACTAGCCCTTTGCGACTGGTCGAATCTGCAGCTCCGCAGAAGAAACCTAGCTCGTCGCCACTGCGGTCCGAAGCAACACACTGACAACTACGCCCGCATCGGTGACGTCGCCACCTTTGAGTCCGTCGAACTGATCCAAACCCTCAAAGGTATTACTAGAAACTCCGACGAAGCTATCAACCTAAAACCGATCTTAATGACAACAGCAATGAACATGTTTTCCCACTACATGTGCAACGTTAGATTTGACGCTGAAACTGATAAAGAATTTAGAAAAGTCGTCGACCATTTCGACGAAATCTTCTGGGAGATCAACCAGGGATACGCCTTGGACTTCCTGCCCTGGCTCAAGCCGTTCTACAAGAAGCACTTGGACAAACTCTCAAACTGGTCTTCCGACATCCGTTCCTTCATTCTATCAAGGATTGTTGAACAGAGGGAGATGAACTTGGACATCGAAGGACCTGAGAAGGACTTTTTGGACGGTCTCCTCAAAGTTTTGCACGAAGACCCAACAGTAGACAGGAACACCATCATATTCATGCTTGAAGACTTCCTTGGCGGTCACTCTTCTGTCGGTAACCTTGTTATGTTATGCCTCACAGCTGTAGCCAGAGACCCTGAAGTAGGCAGGAAGATCAGAGCAGAATTAGACGCTTTGACTAAAGGTAAAAGACCTGTTACTCTCCTAGACCGACACAGCATACCATACACAGAAGCTACAGTTCTAGAATGCCTAAGATACGCTTCATCACCAATCGTACCTCATGTAGCTACAGAAAACGCAACCGTTGCTGGTTACGGAGTCGAAAAAGGAACAATAGTCTTCATTAACAACTACGAACTGAATACGTCAGAAGAATACTGGGAAAGGCCAGAGGAATTTGATCCTTCAAGATTCTTAGAGAAGACCAAAGTTAGAGTGCGCAGGAATTCTTTATGCGATTCTGGTATGGAGTCGGACGGCGAGACTTCGAAGCAAACTGAAGCTAACGTGGAGAAAGAAGTATGGTCTGTGAAGAGGAACATCCCTCATTTTTTGCCATTCAGTATTGGAAAGAGAACTTGCATTGGACAGACTCTAGTTACAACAATGAGTTTTGTTATGTTCGCGAACATTATGCAGGAATTTGAAGTCGGGGCTGAGAGTCTTGAAGATTTGCGCCAAAAGCCAGCTTGTGTAGCGCTACCTAAAGATACGTACAATTTGTATTTGATACCACGTAAATATTGATTTGGTTTTTGATATAATTTTGGGCTTGATTTCTTTTTAGGTTTCTTTTAGTTTGAGAATCTTATGTCTATATTAATTCGAGGTAGATTTGAAGGATAGGTTTTCACTTCTAAAAATTTGAATTCTTCAGTACAATTTCACGATTGTAAGATGTTTTTAACGTAGTTATATTTCGTATTAACTTATTCGCTATAGATTCTCTTTCTAAAATAAGAATCGAAAAGGAATCAAGAAGCGTACGCTCAAAAAGTTAATTTATTTTTTCGAAATAATACGATTACTTACTTGTCTTAAATAAGTTATTTTTTTAACATATTTTTCGGTATTAATATTGACATTACGTGGGAATTACAAAATTATTCAAATAGTACAATTTAATTATAATAAAAATACGTAGAATTGGGACCAAAAATGACGATTGCGTGATTGTGGAATAATGACATTGCCTTTAAATTATTATTAAGTCTTTTGGAATGAAAACAAAACTTGAAATATTAATAATTATGTAAAAAAAGAAAACGTGAGGATTTTTTTAATCAAAATATGCTAATACATTGACTAAAAATGCTAGTAGTTAAAATCAGATGTTTATAAAAAAAAATTGAGACGTCAAAATAATGGTAGGTACATTTTGGTAGCAGCGACAATTCTGTCTTTTAAATTAAGTATTTTTTTAACGAGTTGTACTTATATATAGTTTGATTAAAAAGATCCTTACGTTTGTACCATAATTTAGCTCACCTAAATGAAGTAATTATCTAAAAAATGTAATCATAATGACAAAATAAGTTCCTTATAACATTTTTTTTACAAATGTTACAATAACAATTAGGATTGTATTTTTAATGGCAATAATTGGGGTATAAATTAAAAAAAAAAACGACTGTATCATGCTTGGTGGACTAATGCTTGTATTTAGTAGAAAAAAAAAATGTTTCCGATGACGAAATAATGCTAAAAGAATGGGAATCCATTTAAAAACGCATATTTTGGAATCACAGAATCATTTTTTGTTTAGAATTGTAGTATTGTAGTTTTCATTAAAAGTAGTGAATTGATCATCTCTTAGAGTTCCTTTTATATACATATACGAGTATAATAACCTCATCAACATTGGCTGTTTTAAAAAATAATGATACCGAGAGCGCAGGTAGAAATTTGACCGTAGCGACATCTAGTAGGGAGTAGATAAAACTTTTCGTTTAATTTATAATTTACTTCGCTCTTCGGTTAATTTGGATAAATGAATGTTTGATGTTGTATTAACTTCTAGAACTGGTATAATCATTAGAAATAGTAATTAAAATATAGACTTAAACGGGGGAAAATTATGTAAAACACTCTTATTAAGAATTAGAAGTTTTTTATTTAAATGTAATTAAAATATTACTACAAAGTTCCTAAAAGACGAAATTATATTTTAGTATTGAACAATTTATACATAATTATGGCTTATTTCCAAAGAATTGTAACGTATTTAATAATCAAAATAGTTGCTTTTTAGACGCAAAATTGACAAATATTGTGACGCCATTTTGAATTTTTGTAGCCATTTTTTTATGTAGCGACAGATTAAAAATAATTTTGTAATGACTGTGAATGAATGAACGAATGATTTGACAGTTTTCGAATTTAAATTTTTTGTAAAAACAAATAATGAAATGACTTGATATTGTTGCAGTCTTAGTTTAATGTGATCAGTAGTTGAATTATAAAAGAAATTATAGAGAATCTTTTGCAAATGAATTTTGTTGTTTCATTTATTTAATTAGCTTCTACCCGCGGTTTCACCCGCGTTGTCGAGGGAATAAAGTAGCCTATATGTTATTCTAGACTTTATGGTCTGGGATTGGAATGAAATTTGTAATAGGGGTAGAATAATCTACCCCTTTACCTGTTTTGAGGTTATTGAGTAACAAACACACCCACACACACACACACACGCACAAACACAAAAATTCACCAGTTTTCGCATTTTATAATTGTTAAGATGTACCTAGCTAAAGAAATACGACACGTAGCAAACATTTTAGAGCAAAAAATTAAAAAAGGTACCATCATTTTCAGAAACAGATATGCGAATTACTATAGACTCATTCCCTACATAGGATTTAAACTCAAAGTCAAAGTCAAAGCATTTTTTTCAATGAAACCATAATTTGGTACTTTTGAAACGTCAACAAATACAAAATAAATAATAGTCTGTCAGTCAGTCCGTTTGATTACCGTCTTTGATTAGGAATCTTACAAACTTTCGCATTTATATTATTGTTAAGATGTAGCTAAAGAAACGTAAGCAAACATTTAGAGGAAATAATATACCATTATTTTCAGTAACAGTTATTCGAATTACTATAGACTCATTCCCTACATTGGATTTAAACTTTGATTAGGAATCTCAAAACTTTCGCATTTTTATTATTGTTAAGATGTACCTAAAGAAATACGAAACGTAAGCAAAGATTTTAGAGGAAATATAGAGGTACGTACCATTTGTTTTCAGTGACAGATATTCAAATTACATAACATAACATCACGCCTTATATCCCCGAAGAGGTAGGCAGAGGTACACATTACGGCACTTAATGCCACTGTACAATCAAATACAATGTAACACCCACTTTTCATTATTTATGTTATGAGTCCCATGTAATAGGGGGTGAACGTATTGCCATATTTCCAGACTCCGTGCTACTACTGAGATTTTTAAAAACCCAGTAATAGTAAAAGCCCAATAATATTCAAATTACTATAGACTCATTCCCTAGTTTAAACTTTGATTAGGAATTCAAAGATGTGGACACAGTAAAGTAGGTAGGTACCTAATAATGTAATTATCTCCTGTGTCGTGGGTGCGTTTACAAACATACAAGTTCACATACACATCACACACAGACCTGGAACAACAATTTGTGGATCACACAAAGGCAAAGAGTTGCTCCGTGCGCAATCGAACGCGCTACACGCAGCCAATTGCCCAGCCACCGCACCAACCGTGCAGTCTTTCAATTCGAAAGATCAGTCAACTTGACCGCGATTCATCATGTCATTGTTTGTGAGAATAATCTTGAACAATGACGGGCGAGAATGAACTTCTCTTCGAAAGTTAGAATTAGTAGTTACAAAATAGTCTCACCTGCCTCATTGGAGGAGGAGGAGGGCTTAGATTCGATTCCCGGGTCAGGCAAAGTATAACTGGGTTAAAAAAAATCAGTAGCACGGAGTCTGGAATGGTGCCCGGTATATGGCAATATGCTCGTCATCCCCTATTACATGGGACTCATAATACGAATACTTAGTGAAATGTGGGTGTTATATTGTACAGTGGCATTAAGTGCCGTGATTTGTATCTCTGCCTACCCCTTCGGAGATAAAAGGCGTGAAGTTATGTTATGTAGAATAGTAGAAGTAGTGGCTTGGCAATGACTGTGTAATGTTCGGAGTTTAAAAGAAAACCATTTCGTTCAAGTGTCGTTTATTGAATGCCAAAGTAATACACGTTAAAACTAATTACATATAAAGTGCAGCGTCAACATTGCTTGGAGGTATGTTGCAGTCAATAATTAAAAGTCGAACCGTGTCGCTGTTAAACTATAAAATCATCGCATTTCAACTCCCCCGAAAAAGTACACACTTCATCCCCCTTATAAAAGGAAAAAAAAAATGAAGGCTGCAAACAATGTTGACTACATTTTTTTTTTAAACCTTATTAGATTGTTACACATACTTAAACTAAGCTTATAAGTAAATTACAAAATAAAATCAATTATGAAATAACTTTGTATTATTTTTATGCGTTACATATTCCTTATTATTTTTTATAATTTTCACATTTGGTGCAAGATCCTCAATGACTTTATATGGTCCACTATAAATTTTGTCTAATTTGCTACCTACTTGATTTTTTAATAAAATTAAGTCTCCTTCTTTGTAAGTTATAGAATTAAGTTTTTTGTCATAAGATTTTTTTCTAATTTGTTTACTTTGAACAAGGTTTGATTTTGCATCAAATTGTGCCTTTTGTAATCGAAATTTTAACTCTATAGGATAATTTTCATCATTATAAACAGGATCTACTGAATTAGTTTGCAAATTTGTTGGCAAGTGACATAGTTTTCCAAAGACGAGCTCATAAGGCGTATACTTTGTCTCAGTGTGTACGGTAGTATTATATGAGAAGCACCAGTATGGCAACCATGTGCTCCAATCTATACTAGTACTTTCGCACTGCATTCTAAGAAATGCTCCTAAATTTTTATGGGTATTTTCTAAAGCACCAAGTGTTTGATGGTGATAAGCCGTGCTATTGTATTTTTTGATTCCTAACAAACTGCAGATTCCTGTCATGATCGACGACATAAATTCTGTCCCCTGATCAGTTATTATTTCTTTAGGTAACCCATAACGCAAGATAAAATTATTCACAAAAGATTTCGCAACTGTCTCCGCATCTTTTGTTTTTAGAGGATACGCTTCCACATACTTTGACAAATTGCATTGTAACGTTAGAATATATTTATAATTAAAACTATCTACTTCTATTGGGCCCATTAAATCTAAACTTAATCTCTCGAAAGTTGAGTTTGGTGTGGTGGTAATAAACATTGGTTCTCGAATTTGTTTATTCGTAAACTTTTGAACCTGACATTGTTTACAGGTTTTCACGAAGTTAGTGACGTCACTGGACATTCCTGTCCAAAATAATATTTTTTAATATTATTTAACATCCTATTTACCCCCGCATGGCCGCTAGTAGGTAATAGATGAAAATCATTTAAAATAATACGTTTTTCATCTTTATCAATTATACGTTTCACATCTCTAGTAACAAGAAAACGTGGTACCTTCGATGCTTTCATTTCCTTTAATAAATATTGAAGTAATATTTTATTACTTTCATTCTTTACAACTACGAGCTCACAAATGTTTAATTTTGAGCATAAATATTCTAGTTCTCTCGCTAACACTTTAATAGTTGATAACGATCGAGAAAATAGAAT